AGATAGATAGATAGATAGATAGATAGATAGATAGATAGATAGATAGAGTCCTGTGTGTGGCTGAATGTGAGCATTGATGAATGGAAGACATCTTCTGCCTCCATTTATCTGTTTACTACAGTCTGTTGAATTCATGTTAATGTGGATTTAAAGACATTTACATTAGTGGAAAAAACTGCAATTGGGGGTGGACATCTAAAAAAAACGTGCTCCATGCCTCCCTCCTCCAGGACTTTGTGTTTTACGCCCCTCGGTTGCGGATCAACAAGCGCATCCTGGCGCTGTGCATGGGAAACCACGAGCTGTACATGAGGAGGAGGAAGCCCGACACCATCGAGGTGCAGCAGATGAAGGCCCAGGCCCGAGAGGAGAAGCACCACAAGCAGATGGAGAGGTACTGGCACCCCACGCCCGCTTTATGGAGTAGATTCAGTGGGATTAGGTTCTCCCAGCGATGCCTTTATGGCCTCTGCTCACAGTTAAAAGGTCCATAACATGGAAATAAACGCAATTGAGCGTCCCGAAAGCAGAGAGAATTACAGGACTGTCTCAGAAAATTAGAATATTGTGATAAAGTTCCTTTATTTTCTGTAATGCAATTAAAAAACAGCTATATTAAAACAATAAAAGGCTTGCGATATTTCAGTTGATTTGTAATGAATCCAGAATGTGTGACATTTCATGATTTTTAATTGCATTACAGAAAATAAAGAACTTTATCACAATATTCTAATTTTCTGAGACAGTCCTGTATATGAGCTGTGGTTTGTTTTCCTCAAGGCACCAGAAAGGCTCATGGTCAGATTATTTATTCTGTTTGGGGTTTATTTGGACCACTGGTTTCTTCCAAAGTCAGAGGATAACATGAGAAGGCTCACATCGCATATTATGGAGAATAGGCTTTATTAACCCTTTAAAGCCTCATCCAAGAATAAAACAAAACAGAAAATCGCTTTTTTTTTTGTTTGAATTCCTTATTTGGCCTTTTAACAAAGTATGTCAAAAGAAAAAACAGAAATACATTTTTAATATTAATAATCTAATAATAGTCTAATAATAGTCTTCTGCCCCCTGTTATCAGGTGTATCTGATTGTGTACAATAGGATTTTGAGCAAAGTTTTTACCATTAAATTATGCAAAAGGAGTCAGACGCAAAACATTTCAGAAACCGTATGTATCCAATATGATACATTTGGCATTATAGGGTTAAAAAGCCTTTATGCTAAAGGAATTCGCAAATAACTCAAACTAGGATCTTGAAAACCAAACAAAGTTTAGAAACCAGAAATCAATTCAAATTTCTTTTTTTTCTCCTCCCGTGTGCAGGACAGCAGGGGGCAGCGTTGCACTGAACATGCACTTCTCCCCGTTTAAAATAAGACATTAAATTGGTTTAGTACTGAGGTGCATTAGCAAAAAGAGACTCATTAAGACAGCGGTCAGTCCAGGCTCATATTGGCTGTTTGTTCTGAGTTTAGCTTCACTCAGAGACACCATGAAGGGGGGGAAAGAAAACAAAAAAACTAAACTAAACAAAAATGATGCTAGATCTTCAAACTTAGAGTTCAGTATGATTGTATCTGTCATAATAGATATTATAGAATTATAGACCAGGCATTACATTTTCATAAGAAAAAGGGAAAATGAATAAATAAATAAAAAAACTCTAAAAAAGAGACACGATCATAGGGAGTTAAGGTGCAGCTTATTAATGGCAGTCTTGACTACAGTTTCCATTCATATATTACCTTGTTATTTTTCTCTGTCCTAATCTAAGGGGTTTTGTATATTCTTGGAACTAAATGAATGCAGGTTTGAATGGTGAGTGCTCGAGTGAAAGTAAGTGTGTAAAAGTACATGTTATAATGTTAAATTTGCTGTCTGAAGGTTTGTTGTGTCATGTGGGGTGGTTCATGGAGTGAGGACTCAGGTGCGGAGATGAGGGAAAACAAGGTTTATTGTAACAAAAAACTCATGACTAGTGAATGTCCAGACAAAGTACAAATCAAAGCTGTGGAAAACTGTGAGCAAAGGCCAAGTAACAAAATAAAGAACAAGACTAAGGCAAAACTATGACTGACAAAGTAACAAAATAAAGATTAACAAGACTGTGACAAGACTGTGACTATGACAAAAGCAAACCTGGCGTGGGGGTGACGAAGGACAGACGGACAAGAGACGAAACGGACAAGAACGCACTCGCACAAGACAAGGGGAAACGAGGACTATTGAAACACATGAGGGAGGGGAACCCCAGGTGTACACAATAGGTAATCAAGACATGACGAGACACCAGACGTGACATGTTGTTAAAAAAGAGAAAATTCAATTAAATATATTGAAGAAAAAAAAAAGAAGAGAGTGTTTTAAGTGAACCAGCTAAATATTTTCTGCTCAGAAGTGATGAGACAGAACCTGTTCAGGCCCCAGATCTGGCTGCAAATGTCTGTTAAATGACCGGACGTCTTCTGTGTTGTCTGGGCAGAGCACAGCTGGAGAACGAGAAGAAGAAGCGGGAGCACGCGGAGAAAGAGAAGGAGCGGATAGAGCGGGAGAAGGACGAGCTGATCGAGAGGCTGCGGCAGATCGAGGAGCAGACCCACAGAGCCCAGAAAGGTGCGCCTGAACAGGGTTAAGGCACCAGTGTTTAACCCTGTAATGCCAAATGTATCATATTTGATACGGTTTATGAAATGTTTTGCATCTGACACCTTTTGCATAATTTAATGGTAAAAACTTTGCTTAAAATCCTATTGTACACAATCAGATATACCTGATAACAGGGGGCAGAAGACTACACAAAAAATAATCTTGACTTATCGCATAGTAATAGCTTATTAATATAAAAAATGTATTTCTGTTTTTTCTTTTTACATATTTTGTTAAAAGGCCAAATAAGGAATTCAAACAAACAAAAAAAGTAATTTTCTGTTTTGTTTTATTCTTGGATCAGGCTTTAAAGGGTTAAAAAGCTGGGAAGATGAGTTGTTGTTTTTTTATCCTTATCAGATCATCGCAAAGGCGTTTTCCCTCATTTAAAAACAAAAAGGAAATGAAGTAAAAGTCCCAGCTGAAGTGTAAATATATATTTACATATATGTACATTTAATGTTTGATCAGTCCAAAGAAAAAAAACCCAGCAAACCAGGAAGTAGAAACGAAGCCAAACGAGACCTTCTATGCAAATCCTTTAAATCTGACACACGTTGTGGCTGGTTTGCATTTCCGAGCGTCCCCTAAAGCAGTGTTTTTCAACCTTTTTTGAGCCAAGGTGCAGTTTTTCATTGAAAAAATCTCGAGGCACACCACCAACCAAAAATGTTAAACAAATCTGTAGCCGCCTATAGTAACACTATAGTTATTCTTATTTTATTCTTATCTTATCGTAAGTGTCTTGAATAGGAATCAAATAAACACAAAAATGTATTTTTATCATATCTTATATTTCTTATTTCAAATTGCTCTTAACATGTCCACTTCAATATACAAAAATAAATACAAAATCTAGTCATAAGGAATTATTACCTGATTACGCCACCAGTCACTAGAACAGCACAGACACTCAAAAATGGAATAATATTTGCAGATAATTAATTCCTTATCAAAAAAATCTTTTTAGACCAATTAAGTGAAATAGGACGATTTTGTACGGCACACCTGACCATCACTCGCGGCAC